TATGTGCAGGTACAAAAGATGATTGCACATGTGTGTGTATTATGTGCAGGTACAAAAGATGATTGCACATGTGTGTGTATTATGTGCAGGTACAAAAGATGATTGCACATGTGTGTGTATTATGTGCAGGTACAAAAGATGATTGCACATGTGTGTGTATTATGTGCAGGTACAAGGTGAGGAGAGTTGCAACTTTGCTGTTGATGCATGAAGAGGGATGTGGGAAGAATAATGGTTAGGAACCACATGTTTAAAATGTCAACAAAGTAAACAACTGTTGTGTAAAACCAATGTACAGTATTTCTGTTTGCTCAGGCAGTACACTTTCAGAGCCGTTTAGAGAAATAATTAACATTTTTAAAGACTGTCTGATTGATCTGAAGTTACTACTCAAAGCCAACTTGTTAATACCATGCTGATAGATAGTTGACATCCAGAAACTGTCCATTGGGACCGACGTGTTTTCTACTTTATCAGATGAAATTGGATGAAATGGGACTTTTGTTATCTACACAGTAAAGCTATAATTGACTGCATGATGGATAAGTATTGTCTGGCTAATGGGAGACATGCCACTGTTTGAAAGTACAAGGCCTTTGAGAGATTTCTTTTTTTAAAGAAAATGTTTGCCCCTGAAGCCCCTCTGTATCCTCCAAAGGTCCTTAATCATTTCAGTCCTTGGGGTCTGATACTGTCTCTGGAAGCAGTGGAGCTGCACTTGAGAAATTAATGTCTTAATCCTCTGGTCCTCTTTTTATACACACACACACACACACACACACACACACACACACACACACACACACACACACACACACACACACACNCACACACACACACACACACACACACACACACACACACACACACACACACACACACACACTTGATACAGAACTGATTAGAACGGCTGAACTTTTCTTCTGTTAGGAGGACTTCATACAGTAGCTGCCATGCCTCCAGTCATTTTTCCAGGTTTTCACATAAACCAGCAAGAGACAGGTACAGGTCCTTAGGACGATCATTGCTGTTGTTTAGCTCTGTGTTGCYGTCTCAGGTTGTCATGTCACACTTATGTTGTTTTTGACCTTCTGTYTTGGCTCCTCACACAGGTAGGGGAGGTTATCAACACTCTTTGTGGTTACAACACCCTGAATGAGCAGGTAAGTGACTAAAATAACASTTTATTGGCATCACTTTCCCCTAACACACACCTTTTTTTAACCTAAAGTTATTTTTACTATTGGATTTGCAGTTTGTACGATTTGGTCATACAAATTGCGTGACCAAATCGAAATGAACTTTAAAGTTTAGTTTGCATCAGAAACGCAGAGAGGCTTATTAAGGCTCTGGTCACACCTGACACCAACATGCAGTCTGCCTGATTCACTGACAGCTCTCACCCAGTACTACCTTGCATCTGGAAGGTTCAGAGCTGCTACTCCACATGCAAATACACACACAGACACACACAGTGGGCTGTCAGCAACAAACAGTGTGATTCTCTAAATATTACATGACAGTCAGAGATCTAAACTGCAGCCTGTTGTGATTTTGACCTGTTCAATGTTCAGAGCCACTTAATTCACATCTTTGTGGAGGAACGTACCCAGTGTTTGACGAGCCTAATTATATATAAAACCTATAATATGTGAGAAATAAAAACCTGCAGATYTAATCCATAGGCCCTGGAACTTCACCTCAGTAGAATGATGCTGTCAGCTGTTCTATTCACTCCTGTTAACATCAGCTTTGTGTTTATAAAGTGATTACAGTTTGACTGTTGTTCTGTCCTTACAGACAACACTGGTTTTTCCCTCACTCCTAATGTGTATTGAATAAATGATTTCCTATTTTTATTTAAGCATACTCACAAATAACAACCACTGTGCTGTTGTCTGTGTTGTGTGCGTTTTCTTTGTCGGCATCCTATACCGACTGCAAATTAATTATCTGAGCTAAAATACTTTGTACAACAACTTTGGTGTTTTATAAATTTATTGTGTTAAGTTTTCTTATTTTTGAGAGGTTTGGGTCAGTGGGTGTTGAATTAGATTTTAAAACGTAAACTTATTTTTTTTCTTGTTTTCTTCCTCGGCTCTGTCCATCAGCGTGAAACCCTGCATGAGGTGATTCATGTGCGAGGCTGCATCCATGCAGTAAACCTCTGGATGAGCGACAACATTGGAATAACTATTGCACTCTGCTGTGCCATTGGGCTACCACAGGTAATTGAAAACTCAAGACACCAACTTGCTGACACTGAACCGTCTGAAACTTTCCTTTTAAAACTAAATTCACTTCTTCAACTGAGGCTGTTTATTACAACTCCATCATTTCCTTCTTTGAAAGATTTATGATTGATATGTTTTTATTTAAAAAGATTACGATTTTGTTTTTTCTTATTTTTATGAATTGTCTGTGTGACTCAATTACAGTTTATAATTTTTAGCAAACCATGGCCATTTTCACTAATCTTCCTTTGTATAAATGCATCATTTAGAACAGGGGTCTGCAACCTGCGGCTCTGGGGCCACATGTGGCTCTTTGGTCCCTCTGCAGTGGCTCTTTGAAAATGTGACCAAACATAACAATCATTTTTATTCTTTTATACCCGCAACAGAAATCAATTTGTATGCAAATACTTGATTAATACTACWAATACAAAAAGAAAAACATGTTGATTAGCTCATGCTAGCCTGTTGTTTACTTAAATAATCCAACTTCTTTTATGATCTTTCTCTCAAATCCATCAGGTTTCCCTTAAAGGGGACCTATTATGCAAAATTCGCTTTTTAAAGGTTTTTTGACTCAACTTTGGGTATGTACTTCTTAAAAAACAGTCCTAGGACCAAAAAAATGCACCCAGGGGCATATTTACTTTAAGTAAATGTATGTTTAATGTATATTAATGACAAGTTTTACACTTCCGTYATTTTGTGATGTCACAAGCCGTACGACAACCCACTGGAACCTGTGTTCAGCCCCTTACCTAGCAACCCCCGGGTGAGGCTCCACCTCCTCAGTATAAAAAGTTGTCACGGTGTTGTTGTGTAATGCGCAACTCGATTTACAACAAGCCTCCAATAGGGCAATGGGTAGAGTGTTGGACCAGAGAGCTGGAGACCAGGGTTTGAGACCGGCACGGACACAAATCATTTGATTATATATTTAATTGTTTTTGTTTGTTATGAACACRTTTTCTCATGTACCTCTATTGTTTAGCTTTATAGCCTATTTGTTCGAGTTTCTGTATTTTGACCGCTGCTGCTCCCTGCTCTGGTAACAGCATGCAGAGTGAGCGCAGAGCTCCAACAGGGTGGGGGGAGGAAAAAAAAGGCTGCAACAGCAACTCTGCCTCTGGGTCTGACTCAGGGTCTCATATATACGATTGTAAAACGGAGCTTCTGCTATTATTAGCCATGCTAACGTAAATGCTGGCTTTGGAGGGCGGAGTTAATGTCAACAGATTTTTGGAGGGCGGAGTTAATGTCAACAGATTTTTGGAGGGCGGAGTTAATGTCAACAGATTTTTGGAGGGCGTTACCAACAGAGCTCATTAACATAAACAGCTCTTCTGAATGGAAGTCAGAGCAGGCAGAACTAGAAAATAATAAATTTTATTATCTCAGAATTATTTTGTACCTTAAATTGAATAAACATGGTCTGGATAGCCCACAGACATACCATAAAAAATTTCTAGGACCCATAATTGGTCTCCTTTTAAAGAATATTAAAAACGATATTATAAGGATTAGAAAAAAATATGCCTGAATAATTCAGTTGTACTAGTTTTTATAAAATTAGGTATAAACAATATATAAAGTATTTTTTGTTTACACGAATGTAGTCTTTTTATTTGTCCTGATGTGTAAAAATAATAATAAATACAAAATTCTGTATATATTTTTTAGTTTTATAATGTTACCTCCACTGGCCGTAAAGTTTCCCGAAAAGGCCCACAAAAGGCCCACGGACCACCACTTGATAATTACTGTTGTAGCTTATTTTGCGGCTCTGAACACATTTTATTACTGTGTCAGAAGCAGAAATGTCTCTTTTGATCATAAAGGTTGCAGACCCCTTGTTTAGAACCTGTCTTTACTTGTTGAGTCATAATTACTTTCTTGTATAAGTAGAAATGCCGCTGCTGGAAAACATATTGCAGCTTATTATCTTGAGATAGTAGTACCTCCAGACCAACTTTTTCTGTAGATAAATTCAACTTGTTTGTGATTACTTCCTTCCAATTATGTTTTTTTAAACAATGAGGGCCAAATTCACAAAAATGCGTTTTTGCTCCAATGTTTGCACATCACTTGCACAGATTATCTGCTCTTTCACAGCTTTGTATTCACAAAGCAAAATGTGTTTAAATGCTGGCACAAACAGGTTCAGCAGATGTGTGCTCTTCGCTCTGTTTCTCCATAGTTATCCCTGGAGCACAATCTAAACATGACTGTCTGCTACAAACACAACAGGCACAAAAGTAATGGAGAGAAAATTGTTTTCTCACTTGTAGTTTGAGGTCTTAATTTTTAAATCAAAAAACTATATTTTGTATGTTCTTCACCTCCTATTGTTTCCTTTTATTTTTAATTACTAATTCAAAATATGTTATTGGTTTTCATCCCAAAGTAGTGCTTACTGTTTTCTGCAGTAAGCACTACTTTGGGACTGAAGGTTGATAATTATTCTGCAGGTTAACTTTGTGTTTCCTTTGTTTACCACTGGATAAGAAGCACTATTGGTTGGAATGTTCTATAATCATAACTTTTGTATTTTAAATGTAAAATATCAAAAGGTAGATTTTACACACTATTTGATAATTTGTATGATACAGTGTCTAACGCTCGTCACTGGAAAAGAGGATGAAGTATACATCTCCTGACATGTCTGTCCTCTTTAGATGAAGGCAGCAGATTGCTCCTCTTCCTTTGTTTCTTCTTCTGTGAAACAATTACCACCTGCTCTTAGGAGGCAGTGAATATTTCACCTAAAATTTGCATCAAAACCAAAGCTGTTTTTTGAAGATGGGTTTCTTTTAGTTCTAGCAGACAGTAACATAAATATGTACATTTTTCCTCTAAACACATGCATCATACTTCATTTAAAAGTGGGCAAAGTGTGATCGTGCAGAGAGGCTGTGTTTGTGTAGCAAACAAGTTTGAGTTGCACATCTCCCTTTGTGAGAGCTTTAAGAATTAGACCCCTTTAAAAAACTGTTTTGCAATATAGCAGCAAAGCTCTTTAAATGGATCCCCGATTAGTTGTAACATTAGACTTGACAGAGAGGAGAAGGTAGAAATGACTCAGCCTGGAACTGAAAATATAGATGGAGAACAACAGAGCTGCTTCATGGAAGAAGAACCTTAGCTTAGCCTGTTAGTCTTTGCGCTAGCGCCGACACTGTATTGCCTTATATGTATTAGCTCGGCGCTAGCACGACAAACAAGCTAAACTGAGGTCTTCCATCCTGAGTCATTTTTGCGTTCCCCTCTCTGTCATGTGGATGGAGGACCTCAGTGACGAGAGGAGAATATGTAGCGCTGAGCTAATACATATA